TTGAGGATTTAGAGAAAATCAAAGATCCTTCCTTTTGAACTAATTTATTGTATATATACTAGGATAAAGATAATTGTACTGGGATAACTATCTTATCTGTTTAGCTAGAGTTTATTTAAGAATATTATATCTTTTAATATATTTTATTATTGTGTATTATCATATATTATCAATAGTCCCCTTTGGTTATTTGGTCATTTATGTCCAAAAAAAGATGCTGATATTATATTATATATAATATTATATATATATATATATATAATTATATATATATATATATATATATATATATAATATATATATTATATATATATAATTTTTTTAAGGCTGTCCATAACTAATTTACTGCATAAGGTCTTTTTAGGCATTGTCTGGATTCTGTCAGTTCAAAAAAAAAAAAAAAGGGCTCTATTTAAGAGAAATGAATATATTTTTTTAAGGCTGTCATAACTAATTACTGCAGAGGTCTTTTAGGCATGTCTGGATTCGTCAGTTCAAAAAAAAAAAAAAAGGCTCTATTTAAGAGAAATGAGGTGATGCTTCATTTGCCCAAGGAGAGCTTCAAGAGTCACCTTATTAAATGTGGGTGACTTTCTAGTATCTCACCTTTCTATATATATGGGTATCTTCTTGCGTCATTTGCTTCACTATGGCATTTCTGAACATCAGAGCATCTCTCTCTAGAAGTCTGCTTTCTCTCTCTAGCTCCTTCTGCTTCAGTAAGTTTTCTTTCTTTCGTGTTACTTTTTATTTGGATCATGAGTTTGTTTAGGGATGAGGATGTTCAAGTTTTAATCGATCAGGTCAAGGATGAAAATAATGAAGCTATTGAATCGGGGGTAGGCGAAGTAAAAAGTAGAAGGGAGAACAGTAGGTTGCCGACGTTCCTTCTGATATTGATGAGGGCGAGCTCCTCGACATATGTTCTATGTATGGCGTCATACTAGAATACAAACTAGCTCGTCCCTTAGAGTATATGAGGGCAAATGAACCGTTAGACAGCGAGTCTATTAAGTTGTATGAGTAAGACTTCTGATTAGGGTTTGGTTTAAAGTTATTTTTCAATGACTATGACATCACCATCAGCCAACTCCATCCTAACGGTTTAAGATTTCTATGTGGTATAGTGGAGTTGGCTTGCCGTGATGGGACAGTTCTCACAACTCGGGGGGTAAGGGAACTCTATTATCTACAGTTCTCACCACTGTTTCCTCTAAGCAAAGAATAAAGGCAACATCTTCTCTAAGCAGTCAAAGGTTTATTCTTTGAAAAATTAGAAACAGAAGAATCTCCTAGTTCGACATCCAGATGGGTTAAGGATATCGAACAAGTGCTCTACTGACCCCACGCATTGTCTCCCAGCTTTGGTGAACCTGAGGTAAGTAATTGTCGAGGGTTATCTAGTGTGCCCTCCAAGCAAGCCTATAAGACCGAATCCCTCACTTTCTAGTAAGTTTAGTTCCTATGTGTATAAGTGTTGTTCTTGTACTAACACTTTTTAATTTTCTTTGTCTTTGTTTTTTTTTTTTTGTTTTTATTTTTTGTACAGAGATGACTCCTAAAAAGGCGAAGGCCTCCAAGATGTCAAAAATAGTTGAAGGCAATGAAGAGGTCTAAAGCAGAAAGATCGGATATGGGGACTCCATTGGTGATACTTGAGCCTCCGGCGGATAATGTTGGTGCTGCCTCGCAGTCTGCTCATGTTGAACATGCTCCTTTAATAAATATAAAAGGAAGTAACTAATCAAGAAAAAACTACTCACTTTTTGCCTCTTCTCCTAAATACACAGTCGCACAAATCCAAGCAAAAGATCACCAAGAGACCAATCAAGGGAAGGCTTTGGATATTTGTCAAGGAAAGAGATCAAGCTTAGATTGGACTAACAAGAAGAAGAGGCGAGAGCTGATCGAGGTCAAGGACAACAGAAATAGGAAAAAAGGCCAAGAGTAATTGATATTCATGTCTTTGTTTCTTTATTAGAATATTATTATTGAATGTTGTATTAATATTCATGCATGACTAAACTTTAAATCTAGTTATGAGAACTATTTATTAGATTAATGTGACCAAATAATGGTTTGATTTATTCTTATATATGCCTATGGTTTTCTGATTTAATACGTTTAATCTTAATGCCTGAGGATATGTTGCGCCCCATATTTGCATGATTTTAGACTGACTTGTATGAGGGGAATATTGACTTGTTAGTCGGATCTCACGTGTTAAACCCAGAAAAATAGACCTAGAGATAGGCTAGATTCTTCGAGGGCCAAAGGATTAACACTAGCTTATTGGGATTCAATCCATGTAATACCATGAGAGTAGGTGTCATTTTGATTGTAACATGTCCATTTAGTCTTGGAAGAGGAACTTGGATATTATAGGCTAGTCCTCCTTCAGGAACATACATAAACTGTTAAATCGACCACTTGCGGTACGCATTAAGCTAATAAATATCCGATAGCTAGATTATCTTGATATTTGATTATTTAAACCTTTAAAAAATTGTTAGCTTAATTTACTTGCTTTAATTTTGTAGTTATTTAATTTTACTACAATCTTGATAATTGTTAAACATAAAAATTAGTAATCTATTACCCAATGCTGGTGGATTCAAAAACCTTTTTCACTATATTATTTGTACGGCCTGTGCACTTGTGGAATACGCATTCATTGCCATCAAGTTTTTGGTGCCGTTACCAGAATTGGTGCCTCGAATAGATATTAATTTATTTGTGAGACAATTAATTAGAAATTTTTCTTTTAATTTATTTTCATAAAAATATATATATATAGTAATTTCTTCCTTCTTCTTAAGTAAAGTAATGTCATTATATTTTAATAAGTTATTATCCCTATTTTCTAAAAAAAAAAAAAAATTAAAAAAAAAAAAAAAAAAAAAATTTAAAAAAAAATATATATATTAAAAATTTAAGTCTTTCCTTTTTTCTTTTAACTTGTCCGATTAGCTCATTATATAAAATTTAAGTCTTTCTTTTTCTTAACTGTCCCGATTAGTCATTTTCTTTTTTTTTTTCCTTTTTCAAATTCTATTTTAATTTTATTTTCTTTTAGTTGTTTAATTAATTTAAAAAAAATATAATAAGAAAAATAAAAAAAAGTAATTTATTTTGAATTTTCAGGTTAATTTCTTTTATTGTTTTAATGAGCTAATCTTTTATGCTAAGGTCTAGAAGTGCATATTTAATATATCTTGATCGAGGGATTGAAAGGATAGCTTGTGCTCTAAGAAAGGAGAACCCGAGATATCAAAGGAGAAGACGAAGTCCAATGACCAGGAGAAATGGAAGTGCGGACCCAACGTTAGAAAGCAACAAAGTGGCGGACCCACTAGATATTCCTATTCATAATCGGACTGAAGATGAAATTGAAAACAGAGACTGACAGTTGGACGTGATAGCCGAAAAAAGAACCTTGTGCGACCTAAATATCCCAAGTCTAGATGGTGCACAACCAGCTATAGTGAGATTGCCAGTAGCTGCAAACAATTTTGAAATCAAGCCATCTTTGATTTCTATGGTGTAGTAGTCGTAATTTGCTAGCTACCAGATGAAGATCTAATGTTCACATTACAACATTCTTGGAGATTTGTGACACTTTGAAAATAAATGGTGCATCAAACGAAGTAATTCGACTGAGGTTATTTCCATTTTCATTGCGGGATAGAGCAAAGTTTTGGTTACATTTTATGCCTGCAGGATCATTCACCACGTGGGATGAATTGAGTCAAGCTTTTTTGTGAAAATGTTTCCCACCTAGCAAGATTACAAGGCCGAGGAAGGAAATATCCAATTTTTGGATGAAGGAAGATGAAACTTTATACAAAACCTGGGAAAGATTCAAAGATCTCCAGCGAAAATGCCTGCACCATGGATTTGAAAAGTCATCTTTGGTTCAACAATTTTATGATGGAGCGACACCGACCACTAGAAGTGCCTTAGATGCTGTAGTAGTCGGATCATTTTTGAAAAAGTTAATTTCAGAAGTATACAGCTTATTGGAAGAAATGGTAGCTAGCAATTATAGATGGAATGAGGAAAGAAGTGCACTAAGGAAGGTTGCAGGAGTCTTGGATGTGGATGAATTGACACTCTTATTAGCTAAATTGGATGCATTGGCCAACAAGTTTGACAAGCTCAGTGTAAATGCAGTAGCAATGCCACAGACAGGATATGAAGCATGTGGAAATTTTGATAATGCAAATAGAGAATGCCAATTTGGAATGACTGAATGTACAATGGAGCAAGCCAATTATGTTCACAATAATTTCCAATCAAAGGCCATTTTCAAACACTTTTACACGAGTGGAAAAAATACCCAAACTTTTCTTAGTCAAAATAGCAAAACCAAACTTTTAGAAAAAATCTAGCCCCTAACCAAAGACCACCACCACCCGGATTTCAGAAACAAAATCCATCACAATTCCAACAACCTTACTAGAATCCACTATTGAATCTTGAAGCCTTGCTCCAAAGCTTTATGCAAACCCAAAAGGCAATAAACGATGGACAGTATCAACACTTCAAACAAATGTCTGACAAGATAGATGAACTAATTGCCTATCAGAGGATGACGATAATCTAGTTGCACAACTAGCTAGCTCCTTTAACCTCAGAGCTTATGGCAAACTTTCCAATCAACCAGTTCCTCATCCAAAAGAGCAAATTAATGCAGTAACTCTGAGGAGCGATAGAATTATGGAAAATCCAGAACCAAAATTGCAAAAGGAGAAGCAAGTTGAGAAAAAAGTGATAGATCTGGAGGAAGAATCAAAGCTAACATTGGAAGACAAAAAGAAAGAGGAAGAATTGAAGAGAATCAATTAGAACGATATGGAAAGAAGAATGAAAGCCTTTGAACTACCACTTCCTTTTCCTTAAAGATTAAGACAAGTGCAACTAGACAAGCAGTCAAAAGATTTTTAGACATGTTGAAATAGATCTCTGTCAATATGCCCTTCAGAAAAGTTATATCTCAAATGTCGTCTTATGCAAAATTTTCAAAGGAGATATTGACGAAGAAGAGGAAGTTTGAAGCCTATGAAATAGTGACTTTGACTAAGGATTGCAGTGCATTAATCCAGAACAAGCTACCTCCTAAACTTAAGGACCTTGGAAGTTTCTTCATTCCTTGTGAGGTTGGTGCTATGAAGATAAATAAGGTGCTTTGTGATCTAAAAGCCAGTGTCAGTTTGATGCCACATTCTGTCTTTAAGAAGATGGATGTAGCGGAACTCAAGCCAACTCAAATGATCTTACAGCTAGTAGACCGATCCATTAAAGATGCCATCGGGAGAATAGAAGATGTACAAGTGAAAGATGGAAAATTCTACATTCGAGTTGATTTTGTGGTTTTAGAGATGGATGAAGATGCTCACATACCCATCATTCTTGGCTAACCCTTTTTGGCCACTGCAGGAGCACTTATTGATGTGAAAGAAGGAAAGCTCACTCTGAAGATTGGTGATGAAGAAGTAGTGTTCAATTTATTTGAAGCTATAAAACGTCCAACAAGTCTATTAGAATGTCTCTGAATTGATATGGTAGATGAAACTGTTAAAAAGGTAACAAAAGATAAGAGTCATTCCGACCCATTTGAGGCTTGTCTTGTGAATGCTGAGGGAACCACCACAATAGCACATGGAGTACAAAGCTATAAGGAAATGATGGAGCAAAAGCCTTCACTATCCCCCCCAGAAAGCTTAAAATTTGAAGGAGAGCATAAACATTATGGAGGAGAGCTTTCAGGCTCAACCCTATCTCTAAAAGAGGAAGATGAACCATAGGTAGACCTTAAACCTTCACCTCCTATATTAAGGTACGCTTTTCTTAGTCCTAACTCTACTTATCCAGTGATAAGTAATTTTGCTTTCACTAGTAATTAAGAAAATAAATTGTTAAACTTGCTTAGGGAAAATAGAAGGATTTTAGGATACAGTATTCATGACCTTAAGGGAATTATTCCTTCTATTTGCATGCACAGGATTATGTTTGATGGAGGTGTCAAACCTTCAATTCAGCCTCAAAGAAAATTGAATCCTAACATGAAAAAGATAGTAAAGAAGGAAATAACCAGGTTGCTAGATGCATGAATTATTTACCTAATTTCAGATAGCACTTGGGTTAGTCCCATTCATGTAGCACCAAAGAAGGGGGGATTACAATAGTGACAAGAGGAAAATAATGAAACTCTAGCTACTAAGACTGTTACGGGTTGAAGGATGTGTGTCGATTATTGAAAATTGAACAGTGCCACCCGTAAGGATCACTTTCCCTTGCTTTACATTGATTAGATTTTAGAAATGTTAGCAGGTCATTCAAATTTCTGTTATTTAGATGGTTTCTCAGGATTTTACCAAATATGCATACATCCTCAAGATCAGGAGAAACCACTTTCACATGCCCTTATGGCACATTTGCATTTAGACGCATGCCTTTTGGGATTATGTAATGCACTAGTGACATTTCAAAGGTGCATGATGGCTATATTTTCTAATTTTATTGAAGAAATAATGGAAGTTTTTATGGATGACTTTTCTATATATGGAAATTCTTTTGATTCTTATTTGGCTAATCTTTCTAAAGTTTTGAAGCGTTGTGATGAAGTTAACCTCGTTCTGAATTGGGAGAAATGCATTTCATGGTTCAAGAAGGTGTATTCCTTGGACATATTGTCTTAGAGTTAGGGATAGAAGTAGACAAAGCAAAGGGGGAAATTATTGAGAAGATGCCACCTCCATCATCGGTGAAAGCAATTGGAAGTTTTCTTGGACATGCTGGATTTACCGTCGATTCATTAAAGATTTTTCCAAAATATCTAAACCTTTGTGTAATTTATTGGCAAAAGATGTCCTATTTGATTTTGACAAGGAATGTTTGAGTTCATTTTGCAGGTTAAAGGAGGCCTTGATATTAGCTCCAATTGTTCAACCCCCAAATTGGATTTTGCCATTCGAACTCATGTGTGATACGAGTGACTACGCAATAGGAGCGATCTTAAGACAAAGAAAAGAGAAAAAGCCCTATGCCATTTACTGAGCTAGTCAGACTCTAGATGAAGCTCAAGTCAATTTTCTATAGCTGAAAAGGAGTTCCTATTGGTGGTATAGGCACTAGACAAATTTGAAGACCACTTATTTAGATCAAAAGTCACCATTTTCACAGATCATGCGGCCATCAGATACCTTATAAGCAAGAAAGATGCAAAGCTGAGATTGATCTGTTAGGTTTTACTACTATAACAATTCGATTTTGAGATCAAAGATAAAAGAGGAACAGAAAATGTTGTGGCAGATCACCTGTCCAGGGTCAGAAAAGAAGAGGATGTCGGAGATGATTCCAGTCTCCCAATTGATGACTCATTTCCTAGGGAGTAGATTTTTGCTGTTAGAGAATACAAGGTGCCTTGGTTTGCAGATTATGTTAATTACGTATATATAAAGTTATTCCGCACAATGAGTTATAATCAGTGGAAGAAATTCTTAGCTAAAGTGAAAAATTATTATTGGGAGGAACCGCTGTTGTACAAGAAATGTGGAGATGGGATTGTCAAACGATGCTTGCTAGAGGAAGAAATTCATGAAGTTTTGTCTCATTGCCATTCTTCGCCTTATGGAGGTCATTTTGGAACAACAAGGATACCTGCAATGGTTCTGCAAGCAGGGTTCTTTTGGCTTATGCTTTTCAAAGACATAAGAAATTTTGTGATTTCTTATGACAAATGCCAAAGAACTGGGAACATTTTCAAGAAGAGACGAGATGCTACTCCATGGAATTTTGGAGGTTGAGATATTTGACATTTAAGGGATAAACTTCATGGGACCTTTCCCATCGTCTTACTCAAACAAATACATTTTATTGGCAGTCGATTAGGTCTCCGAGTGGGTAGAGGCAGTTGCTTTTAACACTACTTTCTCTTATTTATTTTTATTCATTTTCTTGTTTTTTTTTTGGCATTTTCAACAAAACAATTTTCCTTTATAATTTATTTTGAAGGAAAATAGGTCGAGCATTAAGGAATGATGGAGTAGTGGACTTCCAGAATAATAATTCAATACCTGCCATGTGTCGTCACAGCAGTTCAAAAAAAAAAAAAAAAAAAACCGCTAGTTTTGATACATAAGTAATCTCTTAGAAGGATTGGGCATTTGTCAAACGATGCTTGCTAGAGGAAGAATTCATTTGAAGTTTTGTCTCATTGCCATTCTCGCCTTATTGGAGGTCATTTAATGGCATCACAAAAGGGATTACCAGTGCACAATGTTCTCGCTATAGCAGGAAGGTTCTTTTGGCTCTATCATTTTTCAATAGCACATTATGAAGTTTTGTGATTTTCTTATGACAAATTGCCACCAAAGAGGAAACTGGGAACATTTCAAGAAAAGAGACGCAGAATTATGCTACTAACGCCATAGATATTTTTGGATTGGTTTGGATGATATTTGACATTAGTGAATGGGATAAAACTTTCCAAATATGGGACCTTTCCCATCGGGTCTTACTCAATACAAATACATTTTTGTATTGGGTCGATTTAGGGTCTTCGACGTGGGTAGGGAGGCAGTTTTGCTGTTTAACACTATTCTTCTATGTATTTTTATCTTTTATTCATTTATGATTACTTGTTTTTTTTTGGCATATTTCAACGAAACTAATTTTTCCATCTTTATATTTTATTGTTTGGAAGAGGAAAAATAGGTCGAATAGCATTAAGGCACATGATGGGAAGTAGTGGACTATCACCCGAAAATAATTTAATAATTCAATACTCATGCCATGTTAATTTGTGTACGTCACAGGCAGTATCAAAAAAAAAAAAAAAAAAAAAAGAGGATTAAAGAAAAAAGGGGGGGAAACTTTTGCAGTATACAGTGGGTAAATAAAAGGAGCCTTGCAATATCTAGTGTAATAGCAATTTGAGCTCTTAGTCACAAAAAAAAAAAAAAAAAAAAGAGGATAAAAAAGGGGGACAACTTTTCGTACAGGGAAAAAGGACCTTGCAAAGGAACAATTTGTAGCTCTAGTCACCTCCATAGTCAAAGGCAGTGGAATAAATTCTTTTATAATGGTCTACTTTCCAGGTGCAAGTCTCTAACCTGCCTCATTTATAACTGTTAATTTTTTTTGCAAATTTACTTTAGGGAATATGTCTTGCATGCAGCTGATTGTGTGTCACTTTTATTTTTTTTTCTCTTTAAACGATATAAAAACTCATTCCTTTCCTTTCAAAATTTGAACTCCCCTTTTCTCTTTCAAGTTTAGCCTGCCTCTCTTTATATTTTCCTTCTCATTTCTTTCAACCTATCCCCTCCACTAATGCCTCCACATCGTGCCTACCAAGATTCACCTAAATTCACAATGAAGAAAAAGAGATGTTTTACTCCCCCTACTTTTTGTAGTGAACCTGTTGACACAAACATTTAAAATAAATAGTATGTGTATTGGTATAATAAATGTTCAAGTAATGAATTTATGATTTGGAAGAATTAAATTATTTATGTTATTAATTATAAGTTTCTTCGATATTTCTTTTGCTATACATGTAAATGTATGTTAAAATTTAATGATTCTATGATTGTAAATCACTACAAAAAAACGCCGTTTTGCGACCGACCCATCGGTCGCAAAATGGCATTTATCGGTCGCAAATTATACTTAGAGATAGATCTGCGACCGACATATATCGGTCGCAAAAGACCTGGTCGCAAAAAACATTTGCGACCGATTGTTCCATTGGTCGTAAATTAGCGACCGATATAATCGGTCGCAAATTTGAATAATCGATCGCAATTTTTGGTCGTGGTTTAATTGGGAATTCAGTCGCAAATTTCGTCGCAGAAAAAACTGTCTCAATTTTTTCTAATCGGTCGCAAAATGTTAATTTATAATTGTAAGTTTCGGTATCAAATCGGTTGCAAATTGGTAGCAAAATTGGAAAAAAAATATAAAAAAAATTAAATATTATTATGAAACCAAAATTTTTCCGCACCTGTGAAAATTGACATATATACATGTATATCACACACGCAATTCAAGAACAATGTAAAAATGTAATTTTTATTCTACTGAACAAATTAAAATATTAAAATACAAATGAAAAACTAAAAAGGTCCAAAATCAAATCTATGCTGCTGCTCATCTGCAGGATCCGATGTCGAAAAAAACGTAAAATAAAGGTCCACAAAAATACTAATCTCACTTGCTTTTCTTCTCATCTGCAGGATCCGATGTCGGTTTCGACCGGAAGTAGGTTTTAAGATACTCTTCTGAGATGGTGATATAGTTGAGCGTTTACCAAGGAGGGTGAGCCCCAATAATTACTTCGGGTACGTCTTATGCAAGGCATCGGAGACTAGTGGTTGTCTGCTGTGAGACAGTCTAAACATCGATCGAGATGTAGCAGGTGTCGTCACATTTTTTAGTGTTATCTGGAGAAAGAAAGTTAGTACCAGCACGGGTGCTCACCGGACTTAGCTGCATCAATTACTATTTCGCGCTCTTAAGGCTCAATAAGAGACAAATACAAATTGTCTCTGTTTTGAGACGTCGAAACATGTCGGTCTGTAGCAGGAGCAAGATCAGAGGGAGAAGTACCAGCACGGTGCTCACCAGACAGCCGCATCACATGCGCTCTAAGCTCTGCAATCTGTCTTTGCGGATCAGCAAGCTGAGCCCATATATCATCATCACAGTGTGAGTCGCTGTGCTCCGGCTGTCGTGCTGCGCTGGCTGTAGAAGCGTGAGCTGCTGACCTAGTGTAAAACTGTGATGCCTGAGACCCGATGCCGTATACCTTACTCTTCTTCTCGCCCCCGACAGCCTCGAGATAAAGTGCTACCTCGTCAATTCTTGACTCAGCTTCGGATTCATCGGTCTGAGAAGTAACAATACGCTCCCGAGCTGTAGTATAGTTGTAGTATAATTCTCCCTGAAAATAAAAATTAATTAATCAATGCAATTGCAAGCTTTATTAATATTTCAAACTTGTACATCTTCGCAATGATATAGAGGGTAAATGTAAATATTTATTCATTGTTACTTACATTGAACCTCAGACGCACGTCTATCGACAAAGTTATTACGATCGTGGTTCCTTTCGTGTGAGTTGTGTAACACCTCCCATCGGATCGGTGTGGGCTCACGACCTAATTCTTTAGCCTGTAATGAATTTTTATGCATGATATATTAATATATATATTGTCCTTTCATTAAACATCAGTTTCTTGCAAAGGGACTAGTTCACTTACTAATAATCGAGCTGTCTCTATAGCAGATATAGATCCGCCTGTGTGTCGCGAAGGTCCTGCTCCATCCCCGCCAGTCTCACTGCGCCTGTTTTGTGCAAACATCTCCCGCTTTCTCTTGAATGCAGGGATCCTCCCAAGCCTTTTGCCAGCTCTCCCATATCTCCTGAGACACGCACTGCTGCTTATTACCGCTTCTTCTCATCCTATAGGTGAAGTCAGCGTATTGATCGGTGCATATCTTCTCCCAGGCTACTTTCAGCATAGCCGTAATGGCCTCGTCCCATATGAAATGTTTCTGCTAAAAAATGAAATATAGCGTTTAAATACTAAGGATGTATCTTGAATTGTAAACATTGAATGATGATATAACTTAAACCAAAGAGTACCTGGAATTCCTCCCAATAAAAGTCTCTCACCTCTTGCGGTACGGCATCCCATGTGCATCCTTCTTTATGCAGCTGTAGCTTGATTATCTTCAAAATTTGCCTCGCTGCTCAAGAAGGTGGATATATGCTGAAAAAAAAACAGAAGTGAAATATAATTACACGAAAGCATCACAGTTACGAATAAGTACAAAATATAATTACAAAATATGCCTGCAAAATATGGCCTACGAAAAATTTTGAATAAAGTACTTACTGTACCGCTACAAACTGAGGGGGATACGTGGATCTGATGAAGTGCAAAGAAATACAACTGTTATAAATTTTTAGATTTAATTTATATATAATTAAAATGACAAGTTAATGACATTTAGATTTACCTTGCACATAGGTGACTGTGCCGCTGGTGGAGTCCTGTACTGGTCTAAGGAAGAGGAAGGAAGGCAGAAGAGGAAAGGAGCATAGAATAGGAAGGAGCAGGAAGGCGTGGATGGCGGCAGTACTTGGACGCTGAGCAAAGGATGAAAGCCCCAACGTACCTGAAGAAGGATGTGATGGCGGCAGTACTATGTCCGCTTGAGACAGATACGAAGCCACCCAGAACGTACCTGACGAGGAACGAGGGATCGACCCTCCTCCGTCCACTTCGAGGGCCTGCGTCCAGGATCATGACCCTCCCACGCGAACTCCTGGCGGACGCGTCAAGAATAATCGGTTTTTGCTCTAGCCATTCCTGTACTTGCAGATTATCAGAACCTAGATAAATGAATTTAATAGCAATTAGTATGAATTGTAGACAATGTGGTGAATTAATGAGTAAACAAAGTGAATGACCATCATTCGAAATTCTTCATTAAATAATATTAATATTAATTACATATACATTTATCAATTTGTAACAGTAAAATTGCTCTAAGTTTTAAGTGTCTTGAATATCATCTGCTTCCTCCTCGTCTTCATCAGCTTCCTCTTCTTCATATTCATCTTCTGAGGTACCCATGATCTATTGATCTTCTTCCTCTTCATCATCTGATGGTCCTATTTAAACATAAGATCGGCTTTCATCATCTAATCTATCTGTTAAATCTTCAACAACTTGCATCAGTTGCGTTTCAACCCTAACTTCTGGAAATGCCTCCGATACTGCGAGTGAAGAAGATTGTTTCGTTTCAAGTGCATGAACAACTGATCTAGCCTTGATTTTACACACTTTACACACTGGCATCCAATCGTAATCTATCTCGTTTAAACGATGGTTATGGGACATAGTACACCTGTGCAGCTTGCATTGGCCAAAAACAAAAGGTTCCAAAATACTTTGTATATCTTTCCTTCCTTTGATTAATATCAACAGATTATACTTTAGGATGAACCTTCGTGCCAATGATTGGCGTAGGATCAAACCATTCACATTTGAATAAGAAATGTGCACTTCATTGGTAGGCCTGGATATTTCTAACTCAAAACCTCAACAATTTCCGCTAAAAATCGTTTGAACACGTGCACTAGTAGTTTGGATCCCCTTTATGCACACATCGGTTGTGTGTGGACCGCTGTTCATTGTCTTTCGTGCTTCTCCCATATTATCTCTCTTCAATGTGAAAACTTGTAACCGTTTACAAAGTAGCCAGAGTAGGCATTAGACCGGTAATGGCCCCTTTGGCCAAGATCCCATAATAAATCTGTTACGAATATCGCTTTCCCGAGCTTCGAGCCTATGGGTAATAGTAATGAACATGAGTTCCAGATTTAAAATAAATGTACATACCGTGTTGTGGTACATTGGAAAGTAAACTTACATAATATTGAAACCATTCTGCAAATTCTTCCGTGTCCAGCTTTGCATCAACTGGTCAGTAATCAGTCAATTGAGATTTTGAAAGCCGCAGAAGAATTGATATATTTTCCTATTTAAATCAAATCAAGAACCATATTAGCATAAGATGATTTAACAACGGCCCCAAACGTCCAAGTTTGAATGTTTACATTATTTACTACTTAATGTAACATATGGTGTGATCCTCTTCGCAATTCAAAAAAATATAGGTTTGAGCCGCTCGTATCTCTGCATCAGTCAATCGTCTTTTTTTTTATTTACCAATCGTACGCCCAGGATAGGCGAAAATTGTTAGATTTCCTTCAAACTCAGATTGTATTCGATCTCCTCCGTCATCGATTTGTGGCACTCTCCGATGCTTGTGAAAACATGAGTCAAAGTAGTGTGAACAGAATGTGGAAGCTTCTTCCACCAAATATGCATTGCAAATGGATCCCTCGACCTTTGCCTTATTGCGCACATTTTTTTAAATTTTTTGCAGGTGTCTGTCATTGTACAATGCCAATATGTAAGTATAAGTTCAAATAAATGATGTAATCATTAGAATGAGATGTTATTGAGTCACCTCTTAAATGGATACATCCATCGATATTGTACCTGTCCTGCTAAATGACATTCATAGGGCAAATGAATCGGCAGATGTTCCATAGAATCAAAGAAGCCGGGTGGAAAAATTCGCTCCAACTTGCACATAAATTTCCGCGTGGTCTACAATTTTTGGCACATACTACTTCCATTGTCTGGATTTCTTCGTTCGAATGCGCTAATTGGGTTCCATAATCATCGCATCGGATACAGTTCATTTCGTCAATTCCTGAAACAAGAAGACTTCATTCTGTCGATTGCTGTGCCTTTCTCCATTTTTCCTGGTAATTTGGAAATCTCCATAACTATGTCGGATTGGTGCGGATGGCCACATGGGGATCATCTTGGTGCATGAAAACAAGTCGGCAGTTAGCCGGCATTTATCGGATGACGCGGTGGGAGTTCCCGATCGGGCTTTCTTGACACAGGTACGGGCAGCAGAACAGTCTGTAACCTTTCTCGAATGTCCAGCCAAGTCACTCAAAAATTGCCGAGATTTTTGACGAACCGCGATTTTGATATCCGAAAATTACAATTTTTAAACTTACCATTTTTGCGACGGCAATTTGCGAACTGATTAAAAAATTATTGCGACAGTTCTATTCTCTGCGACCTAAAATAGCAGCACTGAATTTCCAAAATTAAAACCACAACCAAAAACAATGCGAACCGTGTGATATTAATTCACTTTTGCGACCGATTTAAAAATATCGGTCGCGATCGTTAAACTTTGGGACACACCCGGAATGGAATATAATCGGTCGCAAAATATTTTTCCGTGCGAACAGGTGTTTAGTCGGTCGGCAGGATAGGTCCCAGCAAAGGAACAATTTGCGACCCGTATTAGCTGCATTTTGCGCCCGAAATTTGGTACGGTCGAGCCACAAAATGCGCGTTTTTTTCTGGGGGTAGTTTGGAAGTGTTGACTGTCAAAGGCCGTTGGCAAAGAAGCATCAATTGGCTAAGATGAGAGCGTAAAAGGAATCATGCCAAAAGTGTTCCAAATAAAACAACACCACTAGCTTTTTTCCTCTTTTTTTAACTCAGGTGGGAAGCAAAACACGAGGTGATCCACCCCTCCCTTTGGGGCTCCCTCTATCCCTCTGGTAAGGCTTATTTGGATTTTTATGATCTAGGACTTCTAAATCGGTCTTCATATTGCCTGAACCCGCTCCTGGTGATTCGGCGTCGACGCGCGAATGTGCTTTAGTTTTAGGTCAATTCAGATCCAGGAACACAGATGTTCTCTCAGTTGCACAGTTATCGTAAAGAGAACTCACCTTTCTGAAATGGATGCGATCAAGCTGTTCCCTGGTCACAGCATTATATGCATTTTTACGCCCTCTTTTTACCCCGTGGATTTGGTAAGGGGTTGGTGCTAATGTTCAGCCTACTCCCTCGGAATAATTGAAACCGTGGTCTACTCAGATCTGATGCGGTTCTTAAGGCGTCCAACACGCTTCGGTCCTTTGTGCCCATATCCCTGATGGTACTCCACAGTAATTCATCAGGTTTGGTAATTCTTGGTATGGGATTGGGAGGTGGCCCTTGCTTCCAAAGGGCTTGATTGTAGTTTGCCTTGACAGCCCTCTTCGGAAAACCAAAAGGATTGGCATCCCGGCGAGATCAAGTATTAGGTTTCTTTTTTGGACTGATTGCCACTTCTTCATAATTCCCCAACCATACGTGAGAGGGTTGGTGGGGTGTGCCCTTTGCCCAACTTCGTAGACTTTGGCTAGCTTGGCTTAGGTTTTTTTGCTTGTAGCTTTGAGGGTTCTGAGTCTTTTCTTTTCAAGTTTGCCCATTTGAATCAAATCTTCTACCTTCGTAGCCAGTGGGCAATGAAAGTGACTGACGTTGGTATGGTACTGGTTTGTAGCTGCTGTTGGGTAAGACCAGGTTGCAGGTTTCTTTTATCGCGGGAATTTTTAGCGCTAAAATTTGCGACGGTTTTTTCTTCTGTAGTAAATCTGTCGCAAATTTGCGACCGATATCTGTCGGTCGCAAAAATCAGTCGCAATTTAGCGTTTTTTTTGTAGTGATACATCCACAAATTTGGTGTTAGTCAAGT